CTCGAGAGTATAAATAAGTAAACAGATAGATAGATAGATAGATAGATAGATAGATAGATAGATAGATAGATAGAGAGTAGGTGTGTAGAGTGCACTCGTCAGCCTAGTACCGTGTCCTCCGTCCTGGAAAGGTCAGAAAAATACATCAGTTCATTGCTGTAAATGGAATAACGTCAGTGTATTACACTGAACTGTCAAGTGGCCATTGTAAGTACCCCAATGAAAGCCATAAACACAAATCAGCCAGAGCATTAACGGTAAATTTCAATTCATTATGTTTAATATTGCCCCATAAGGTCTTGTAGGTTATTTTAAGCGAAGTGCAACACACAATTAGAGACTTAGACAACCAACTGTGTTTCACTGACAGCCTGGACAGCCCCTAAAGGCTCCCTGTGGAGTTTTTGACCTCTAGTACTAATGTGGAGAAGCTTCTCTATGAGTGGGGCTCTTTTTTGGTTCTATCGTGTAATATTAATATTCAAAATTGTAGAGTACACTAATGATTTTTGGTGTATAAATGTTAACATAAAGAATAGTCAGCAGTCTGCAGTCAAACAGCAGGGGACACATGCTCCTGTCAGCCCACTATAACTGCATCAATTTTGATAACATATTACTGACAGAGCACAGCACTGTTACTGTTTTGTATCAGATCCTCAAGGTGAAAAAAACAACTTCCCTGTGGCAATGTGTAGCATTTTCACAACACAACAATATCTGGTGCAGCCACATGTAAGCTGTTAAATGTGCATCATGAAATTTCTTCCTCTGCACAGTGCTGTATACTGTATGTAGTCCTGGCCTTGAACCACACTCACATGAACACTCGACGTGCTGTTGTGCATACATGCCACCAGGTGGACACAACATGGAACAACACTTTGTTCACTAAACAGGCCGGAAGGCTTCAGTCACACACCAAGGAAAGTTTACCACACAGTCAGTGTTGGGAAGGTTACTTTTAAAATGTAATAGGATACAGATTACTGAATACCCTGTTAAAAATGTAATAATGTAATAACGATTGTAACTATTTGATGTTTTAAATTGGGAAGCAAGGTTGAAAAATGTCATGGAAAAGGGATAGTTAGCCCTAAGCCATCAGAATCCATGACCCAGCCCCTAAACAGAAACCCTAATCCTGGGCCGTGCACAGACATTTTTGGGTGCAGGTGCACAAGGGGGGAAAAGGGCAACCCTCTCAAAAAATAAAGTTATATACAGTAGAACATCTTTTAGGCTTAGGCGGAGTTTCTTCTTTTGTGTTGAATCAACGCTGTGGCTACGGCACAGGCGCAGGCTCCATGTTGACATAGAGCCTACGCCATGGCCTGATGTGCACCTCCCAAGAAAATATTTGTGAAGACAATAAAGCCTCCACAAAAAAAGGAGTTTTATTCTTGTGTGTAATTTATCTTTCAGGAATTTATCCTGGCTTCATATGAGCAGAGAAAATCTCCGCTCGTCGCTAGGCTAATTTACACAATGTAAAATGCCATAGGCTTGTGCTAAAAACATTAGCATGTTGTATTTGTGGGGAAAATGCGTCCAGATCTTTGCATCAAGTCTTTGTCTGTGAATGCTGCGAGTTATAGTGAAGCTGAATTGTGTCCAATTGTAAGGTAAACTTCTTTTACCCACCCTGCTGTGTGATGGAAAAAACACATGCACTCTGCTTTTAAATGTCATCACTCTAGCAACCCATCATCAATTTAAGACTGGGCTGATGGCCCAAACCAAGCCAAGCCAAGCCAAGCCAGCCCGTGACTGTTGAAAAGGGGCAAAAGGAGGGGCAGGGGCTCGAGTGGTCTCGCAGAATTAGAACTCAAATGTGGTTTCCGGCATTAAAAACACACTTTCAATTGAGAATTGATGCCAGGGGCCAAATTTTAAAAACCTTAAATTGAATATTAGAGAAGAGAAAAAGAAATAGAAACAGGCATATAAAATGCTTTGCAAAAAGGGCACTTCTAAAATCAGAGGTCAAAAGAGCAGGTGGAGTCTATCTGTGCCATGTCTGCTCTAACTGCTCAACAACTCACAAAACTAAAATATTTTTTAATAGAGTCTGCTACTGGGTCACAGAATCTGATGGGTCACAGATTTTGGTGTGACACCTGGCTTTCCTGCACTGCAACAGAATGAATATTATATTCTCCATGTAAGCTTTTTAGCAAAAGGAATGTGTTTGCATGTGTTCCCTTTGTAATCACCAACACTTTAATTAATTGCAATTAACAAAAATATAAAAAATATTTTGGTTAATTAATTTTAATTGTTTTATTTTATTTTTTCTATTTAGGTTTTAATTTTTTTAAATTAAAAATAAATAACTGCAATTTAACTACATATTTTTTTCCTCAGTAAATGTAACAGATTACAATTACATTTGTTTTGTAATTTAATTACATGTGACTAGTTACTCCCCGGCACTGCATAGAGCAGGTTTAATTCTGAAATGTACATAGGTCTAACAACTCATCTCCAAACACTGTAAGCTGCCTGAGCAGACAGTCTACTGGGAGACTGTGATGAGAATCAGTCATGTTTGTCTTCAAACACACAGGTAGGTAGACAAGCCTTGCGTGTGATGAAAGCCTTTCCCCAGTCGGGTATAAAACCTACAGAGAGCCTTCTGATCTGTGTTGGTGGAACTCCTACATAGCAGCACTCTGTCAGCATCACCTGCAGTGACTAACACCTGGCTGGATGGGAGCAGAACAAGCACCTCTGCTGGTGCAACTCGACTGAATACTCGCCAGAATAAAGCTTAACAGGCTAAATATGGATCGAATGCGCTAAGTCACATCCTCCAACACCCTGCCCACTTTTCATTTCAGCTGTCTCGAAGCATTAACATCCTTCCTTTGTGTGCTGCTCTTTATCTACGTGTCGTTGTGATTGGTGTGGATTTAGTGGTGGGAAACAAAGGGATGGTGTTTTATCTGGTTGCACCATCAGCTCGCATCTTTAGAATAATTAAGTTTATTTCTGGACTGTTATCCTACATGGTTAAGTATGAGGAAGTGCAGATTTGAATCATTTTTGAAGTGACATTTCAACTTTTTCTCCATTTAATCTTTTGATTTTCATGTCACAATTTTTTTCCAACAGGAATACAATGTGCATAAGTCCACTGAGACTTTGCTGCCGTCGCTCTGACAGCTCTTTGAATGAGAGGGGAGCTTAGCGCTGGAGTAAACCTGTCTGATCACATGGGTAGAGAGTGACAGTATGCAGCAGAAAAACAACACATTACAGGCCAGTAGAAGCAACTGTATTTCAAACTGGGAGGTGAACTGACGCCCATAACCACAGCAACCACACGTATCTGCTGCTATAGTGCACCACGCCTATACACCGGCACACTGCTTCCTTTGTGTGCACAAATTTCATTGTGCAAAGGGAAACTGAGCTGCACTGACAGGTGCAGGTAGATGGCAAAAGAGCATGAAAAAGACGAGAAAAAAAAAGATAAAACAAAGTCATTTTGACGACGTGCAGCTCGAAGCCTTTGAAGTGAGTTTTGAAACAGAGCAGCGCCCAGTGAATCCCAAGATAGCTGGTTTAGGGCGCCAGCACCTAGCAACATCACAGGAGCAGAGTTCAAAAACACAGTATGGTAATCCCGTCAGAAATTTTAGGTGATCCGACACTGGGAGGCTTTAAAAATGCACGCTACAAATACATACGTCTACATTAATAATAAAATAAAGGCAGCTGTACCAAAATAAAGTCAAGTCTTGGGAGAGGATGGAGGATTATTTCCATCCCTTCTCTTCTTCTCTGGCTTCAATTATGCTGAACAGTCACGGTGCTCAGGGACAGAGGAGATGATGTGACTTAGACTCACTCATTCAGATCAACACGCCGTTGATTTGTCTAAGGAGGTGTCAGGGACAGTGAGAGTGTTATTTGAATGTGCTGGGAGCTTCAGTGTGTCCCTCACACTTTAGCAGATAATTACATAAACGGCGACTGATTGTGCAGCTGATTTGCAAATAGGAAGGTACTGACGAGGATGGAGAGCTGCAAATAAATATGATTATCCTTTTTGGGAGCCCAGACCCAGACTGGACCCTGTGTGCCTTGTGTCTAAATATGTCAAAAACCCAATCAAAAGGCAAATCACTGGTAAGCATTTGTCTCAGTATACAGCTTTAACTTCCACTTATATAAGCTTTAAACTTTCTTTTTATCTCTTACATGTCACTCACAGTAAGCGATGTGGGGTACCAGCCCTCCCTTCCTCCTACAGAGCATCACTTTTGCAATGAGGCCATTGCTGGTGCTTCTATTTTGAGATGCATTAAGCTCACAGAAAAACTAAACTGCTAAATAATTGAGACGAAGCCTCTATCATGGTCTAAGCTGAGCCATCAGCTCGCTCATCACGGCCTGACATCATCAAGTCACCCTATACATGACGCCAGGACATTGAACTTCCTGTAAAGATGGTTTAATATTGTGAAACTGTGTCATCTGGAGAGCCTGCGTGGGATAAATATATCAGTTTACATCTTAATTCCCACATGAACAGGAAGTTTTCTGTGTTTCACGCTGCATTAATTCTGCTGTGTAAATGTGTGGGTTTCTACACTGTCACAGCTGCAGTGTGATGTTTAATAATTCATCACAGAGATGATTTTTATATCCTTTTGCCAGTGAATACTACAGGGGGCACCTGTTTTTAAGATGGCTTATAAACACCCAACAGGGTACTCCCTTTCCTGTGACTGCATTTCAGTTTAATCAACATGAGCAGTGAGCCCCTTTAGGAGTTTAGGAGATGATACATGAACAGTCATCACAGTCCCACCAAGCAGTGAGACTGGCAGCAGCATGAACATCTATGCTGTCATCTCTGTGCACTTGGCACAGCAGAGCACGAACACTGTAGACAGCTATGCTAAAATAAAACACTCATGGTGCTGTCAGGACTCTGAGCGGCCACAAAATGGCAAACAGCCTATGTGAAAAGTGGGATGCAAACCAACCGTGATTCTCCCCCTCCATCCCTGGTGGTCCTGATGCTGCCGCAGGCGTCTCTACCCGGGGATGTCTCGCGCCAAGCGCCCGCAACAATCCGGATACCTTCCTCCCTTCCTTCCTTTCCGGTGTCTCCTTCGTCTTCGCTCACCTCCCAGGTTTCAACTTGATGGCAGGGCTGTGTCTGAATGTGCCAGCTCACTCCGGGGTGGTACTTTCCAGCTTGTTGCTGTTTTGTTTATCCCCCACTTGGCGTTTGAAAACGTGTGTGCGCTGCTGTTGTTGGCTGGCTGCTGATATGCAGCCGGAGAAGCCGGTGCACATGTTAGCCCCGCCCACCCAGATGTGATGTCACGCTCTAACTTCTCTTAGAGCCAACAACTTTGCTCCATACTGGCAGCCATCATTTATGCAATGCACTGTGGAGACTACTGCTCATGTGATCATGCATATATATTACAATTATATATATGTAAAAAATATTCATGTTTAAACCTTTGAACCCTGAGCAAATTGGTGCAATTTCTTTCAATAACATGGAGAAAAGGCAATGAGCAACTTGGCAAGAAATGTTGCACAAATTGCAAAAAATTAATAGATTTGGAAAACTATTTTTTAAAAAGCTAGGGAAAACATATATTTATAATTATTATCATATATTTAAAATTATGTTACAGAATTATTCTAATTTTTAAGTTATCTTTCCAGGTAATTACCTTTATTATTTGTTTTACTTTATTTTATTTTTATTACTTTTCTTGTTTTTAATTTTCTCTTTTTACCTATTTCTTGCTAATTTTTCTTCTTTTTTCCCTTCTTTCCATGCTTTTGAAAGAAAGAAAGCAAATTTGCTGAGGTTTCAAAGGGTTAAGACGTATTTTACAAACCAACTTTTCACCAGCTTCAAGGCAGGACACAACCTAACACATTTTAGTCTGGGCTGAATGTTATTAAAACTAATTAAGATTAATATTTTTTGAAGAACATGCACATCTCTGCTACAAATAAACTAAAAACTTACTAAACTATCAACAATTCTGCCCTTGGACAAAAATTACAAACGCTATCAGAAGTAATCAATGTCCTTTTTTTTTCTTTTTTTACAACATCTGGGGTCCCTTCATGTGTTATCTAGAGAATATAGACTTCACCCACATGTTGGAGGTACCTGGGGATATACAATAAGTGACCTTCTGCAGTGTCCAACTCTGTCAAAGTTTCTCAATTTGTACATCAATTCAATGTGTGCTTGAACTTAAGTGTATATGTACCGCACTGACCAGATCATCAACCTGTAATTTGTGATCTTCTTTCCCCTCTTATTTATTTTATTATTATCCTTATTTACTTTTCTTCATTTATTTAATTTCAACCCACACCATTGGCGTGGGGTGGACATTCGACATTTTGTTCTGGTGTCTTTTTCTTTTACATGTCCGTGGATGTATATGTACGCATACTGGATGTGTGTATGTGCACGTCTTTGTTTACTGTTGTTAAAATCAATAAAGATACGGTTGGGGGGAAAAAGAACATATCTTTCTTCTACAATTGCACTGAGAAGTGGTGGAGGTGAAATGTTACTACTTACCCCATGGGTGGGGTTAGCTGTAACAGGCAGAGTGTTAGCTTTAACACTTGCTGGAAAAGTCTGTTTAACACAATTCATTTAATACAATTCTATCTATGTAGTACAGGTCTCCATCTATATCAGGGTAGGATAGATATCTGTACAGGTATCCATTCATCTGTAAAGTCTGTCATTCATATTCAATGGTTGGACCTATAGATCTACACAGAATGGGTAACCTAGATCCACGTCAAAATATGAGTATTGAATGTATGAATAGTGACATGACTGTGAAACTGAGTGTCAGCAAGATACCTTACAACTAACCTCTCTGGGTGGAAATGTTATCAAGTCTCGCTTACACTTGCTGGGAGTTGGTTTCATAGATCAAAATGGTGCTGTGTTTTAGGCAACAAGACAGTTGTTAAGATGATATATGGTTGGGTTCGGTGACTTACATAGACATCTCAGTATGACAAAGAAATTTACTAATGAGGGCTGAAAACACTCTTTGTTACTGAGCTCCACTGAATCACGTCCAATCTCTGTGGAATTTCTCAGGTCACTGTTTGGTGGTATTGTGGTCAACTGGCCGGAAGCATGAAAGGTTAGGTTTTGCCCAGCGCTACCTGCCAAATGACCATATTGATTACTCACCTTGTGTTACATTTAATTCAGGAAGAAAACTGTCTTTTACTGTTTTATCACATCCCTCTGCAGTGAACAAAGCATCCAAAAACTGAGAAAATTCTTAATTAATTTAGGTCAAAGAGGGATGCTTCAAACAACAGCAAAACTATACCAAAACACTCAATACAAACTCTCACACAACTACTACTTCCCAAACAGACAGCCCTTTCCTATGGGGAATTAAACATAAAGAGAAACTACACTCTCTTCAAAGCCAGACTCCATTGACAAAAACTGTAATTTTACCTCTCTGAACACGGGATCTGTGTAACTCCAAAGTCATACAATAACACTAACTGATTGAGGCAACGGTTGACCAGCAGCATTGGTGCTTACCAAGTGAAATTACTGAATTTGTTTACAGAGTCTGGCTTTGAGAAGCACATCAGTAGGTTTTTGGGAGGTACTGAGCATACAGCCGGATAAATAATACATGGATGATACTGCATGAGTTGTATGAGAGTTTGTAAACCAAAGTTTTGATATAGTTTTGTTGTTGTTTACCTTGGACCCCTATGACTTCAATTCATTGAGAATTTTTCAGTTTTTGGTTCTTCATTCACTGTGGAGGGATGCAAAAAAAGCAGGTTTCTCAATGAATGAATTCAACATAACTTGGGGTGAGTAACTGATATACAAATCAGTCAACTGGGGAGTGAAGTGCTCCTTTAATAAATAAACCTGAGATTTTTAACAAACGTAAAACATATCAAAAACAGACTAATTTTTACTCTCAATTACAGTCCACATTAAATAAAGACTGCATTGCTATTTAAACCTGCAATAACAGATTGTTCTAGCCACTAGAGGGCAGGAGAAGCAAGTTGTGGACACAACACACCCTCGCCTTTTAAGATGATATGGCAAACCTATTAGCAAACATGTTTAGCAGCTATGGAGCATCATCATCATTCGTCTAGAGCCCTGTTTCTGGCCACTGGTGAGTTTGGTCCATGTTTTTTTTTTTGTTCTTTTCTGTCTCTTTATCTGTTAAATATTTCATTGTTTATCAACAGCTAGCCATCAACTGTCTGTCTGCTGCTTGGTGCTGAGCAGGTAGTGTACAGTGAGGTTTTTGATAGCCCACTGCTATCAAAACTACATTGCAATTACAAGAAAGAAAAACATTCAAAGGATTAGAAGACAGGAAAATACACAATCATCTCACAAAAGTCACAACTTTATTGCACCTTTATAGTTTAACTATAGTGTGGTAAGAGCCACTTTCATTATGAAAGGTCTCCTCCCTGGTCAGAAAAGGTGGTGCAAAATATAGAACCATCAATGCAAACATGTGGACCGTCCATTCACACTGGGAAATGTTCCTCTGTGTCAGTCCCGAGAGTCAGTTTGACACCCTACGTCGACTTCACAGCCGACAAACGCATCCTGTGGAAAGCAGACCGCCATAGTCGCTCTTGTACTGTACACACTACAGTGACATAGGGAAGGTCTTGCATGAAAACAGACAGCTCTCTTACACACAAATGAGCTAACACATCTGCAGATTAATTCTCAAGTTAACACTCACCAACTGATCCGAGTATTAGTAGCACATTAAAGATCTGTGTCTTTTCTTCTTTAAATTATATATTTATAACATTAAATCCTATACTTTTTTTATAGCCAATTCAAGGCAACATCTCTAGAATGAAAAGAAATGCATGGGCAGATCTTTACAGCGTTGGAGGGAAACAGGTAGCACAAGATGAACTGTACAGGCTTCTACGCTGGCAAAGCAGTTTGTTATAACGTTAGTTTCTCTACGCATCTGTGCCCGGGGTTGGTGCAAGATGATCCCATGGTTTCCACACCTGAAATATTTTGTATAAAACAGTTTCTACAGGATGTACAGGATGCAAAATGGTGGTCCCAGGAGAGGGACGTCCTCTGATATGAAGCAGGGGAGGGGGGTCTGATCGGAGATGAAGATGGGATACAGGGTGTCTGGGTTCCTGAGTCTTAGCCCAGTTTCTAGATGACCAGCATGAGCATCAGAAAATTGCATAGAGTAATAAGATACAAGGGGAAAAGAAAGTATTAGCATGTGGCAAGCCCATTCTAACACAGCGCCTGTGTGAAATCTGACCCCTTTATTTCAGTATGTCGGTGAAGAACAGTTTGTGAAAGGTCAAATCTCCACACTGAGAGCTTCTGAACGCTGGACTGATGAGATGACCGACAAAGTTACGACTGCTCCTCTCTTTAGTCCCTCCCAACAACCCCAACGTCTACTCTGCAAATGCACATTTCACCGTAACGTCCAGGTAAACATAGATATGATGAGTGTCCAATGTGTTCATCCATGTCAACACGTCTACAAACAGCTGAACTGTTAATAAAATAGGCAGAGCATTTATTTGTGGCCTAACAACATAAAATCTGAAATTAACTGATTTTTCTAAGGGAACAAAAAGGGTACATAACTAAAATTTTTAGACATGCATATTCATAAAACAGTGGCAATTTTAAAGCTTCATTTTACCAACAATATGCAGGCAAAATTTGGTCCTTAAAAACACACCACGTGGCACAGACACTGCAGGAAAAATAAAATGTCGGCGGAGAAAAAAAGGCAGGAAATAATTAAATAATCTAAAATAATAAACAATACCAGTCAAAAGTTTTGACACACTTTCTCATTCAAGATAATGGGAAAGTGCGTCCAAACTTTTGACTAGTATTTCTCTATTAATAAACTATTTTGGATCTTTGTAATTTGGTATAGACTAATATCAGAAGGTTTAAAAAATATTAATGTCCATCTTACCGAGCCCTTATGTCTGCAACAGTATGCTCTAAGATTGCGTACAGTTTCCAATATGGTGAACAGTATTTAATTTCATCGTAGCTCAAGATTGTTGGGGCAACAACCAGGGTTTAAAGATGCCAGCATACAGTTATTTTTGACATGGAGGTGTAGGGGGTTCTACTAAGTACTGCATGCATAGAAAAGCCAGAGCCCCTACTGTGGTATTTAGATTAAAAGGGGATGTGACTGGTCGCTACTGAAGCCTGAAGACATTTCATGGTTTT